ATCCTCGCTCAGATCGTTCTTCACAAATTCGGACACCACGCGCATAGCGCCGTGCACGCCGTCGGGGGAACCTGAGGAGAGGAGGGCGACAAGCTGGGAGAGAAGGTCGGGGTAGTCGTCCGGCCAGTCATAGGTGGCGAGCGTGGAGAGGGCGAAGGCCTGCAACGAGGTCAGTAGGCGCAGAGCTGACGGCGCAGATGGGGGATGGGTTGGTGAAGCAGCACCTATTGGCACCGAGAGGTCTCATGGCTCGGACGGCACTACTGCGCATCGTCGGGCGAGGTTGTGAGGGTTGGGAACGACGTCGGAGGGTCCGGGGTTGAAATCTTCAACGTACGGCTGCCATGCGGACTTTCCGCTGAGGATCCGAGAGCAGTTGGAACACGATGGGCCGTATCTGGGTTTTGACCTGCAGTTGCAATAAGCCTTAGAGTCCTCTCGCGCTGCCAAGCTCTCCGATCAGCCCGACCTACCTCTGGGGGAACCACCGGCTGCTCAAAGCTTGTGGAAACGGGCGACCAATGCTTCGAGATGTACTGCTGCAGCAGCACTCCGGCTGAGTGGGTCTACCATCAGCTAAAGGCTCGGCGTGTCGAAATCCAGGGGAGGAGCCCGACTTATCTGTCTCTGAGGGAGGTCTACATCCTGAGCAGACAATATCCGTGCCAGGCTGAGTCCTCCATCTATTCCATGGTGAGCTAGTCCCTTCCAGGGCTTCTGGCTTGACGCACCAGGTAGGGTGAACAACTGCTTGAGCTGCGCTTCTGCGTGGTTCCTCACGCCCTCGTCTGGGCTGAGGGTCTCTCTGAGGACCTGAAGTACTGCCGACTCCATGTTCCGAGACGGTGATACGGATGCGTAAAGATCAGTGATCTCCTGTGGGCGGCTCAAAAGTTGGACGGGACACGGAATGGGCGGGTTGGATGAAACCGGACGCGCCTGGTTGTTGTTTGGAATTTGATCCCGTCGACCACCAACTGGCTCGATGACGGCGACCGAGACAACCACCACAGCAACAGTCGACAACCACTACTCTTACCACTCTCATCCGCCTTGCTCGTCTTCATCACCTTCGACACATCGCTCACACAGCGACAATGCCCCTCAGAGACCTCCTCAGAGCCCGTACGTCCCTACTCGCATCTCACTCGCACCACCCAAGTACTCTGCACCAGGTCGCCCGACCACCCAACCACCACCTGTGCTCAGTCCCCCTCCCATGACTCCGACTCCGACTCCGACCCCCTCAGCAAGAGCTCGAAGTCTGCGAGGCCGGCTCACGGCGTGTACTGACTGTGTCAGGATTCAACTCGGCGCTGCAGAGCATCCCTTCTGGGCAATGGAAGATCCTCATCACGGATGATCACTCGCGGAGGCTCCTCGATGCGGTGTACAAGGAGTTTGACGTGCTGCAGCAAAATGTCACGTGTGAGTGGGAGTGGGGTGATACGCCCGAACTGGACAGGAAGTGGTAGTATCATCAGGACAAGATGAGGCAAGAGAGATGCGGAAGGACAGAGATGGGAGCGACGCAATGGAGGAAGAAGAGGGGGAAGCCGATCGGTCCGGTCCCATCGACAAGCCCTCACTGGTATCTCGCTGACCCCACAGCCATCGAGCCCCTCATGTCCCCTCGTCAACCCATGTCCGTCGACGCCATCTACCTCCTCACTCCAACGGCGCAGAACGTCGATCGGGTCATCGCCGACTTCACTCTCGGGCGGCGGACATACAAGGCAGCGCACCTCTACTTTATCGACGGTACGTTGGTTCCGCCCTTTGCCTTGCGTCACGCGCTGTGCTGTTTGCTGGAGACTGCGGCCATGTCTGATGTTGTGCAGGTATCGACGACGTGTTGGCGCAGAAGCTCACGAGCGCATTACCGGGAGATGTGCTGAAGGCGTTCACCGAGCTGTACTGCAACTTCTGGGGTACGTTGCGGGCGCTTCATCCGTCTTCATCCCGCCGTGGGATCGATAATGAGGAACGCCGAACTGACGCGAGATATAGCAACGGAAGATCGAGTGTTCTCCCTCCAGACGCCATCGTCTTTCTTCACCTTCTTCGGCTCGCTGGGGGGAGCGGCCTCGGGTGATCTCGCAATGGAAGCCTTCGAAGACGACGTCAAGGTCGTCGGTCGAACAGTGAGTCGAGTCGAAACCCCCCACTGTACTCTTGCATTCCTGCTAATTCTTCGCCAGCTGCTCAACGTCCTCGCTACTCTCAATGAGAACCCTTATATCCGGTACTACCAACCGGCACACCATCAACCCCTCGGGCCCCTTGCTCCATCATCACATTCCTCGTCACTCGCTCCGCCGCAACCCCAGACGCAGAGTTTGAGGTGGCGCTCCGCAATGGGCGGCAAAGACACGTCGGTCGGACAGCCGCAGGGGGAGTACCTCAGCCGGAAATTGGCGATGCAGGTGCAGAACGATCTGGACGAGTACATGGCAAATAATCCAGAGTTCCCGGTGAGTCCGGCGAGTCCGGCGAGTCCGGGTGCTCATCGTCTGACCCAATTATACGGGAATATCACGAGTACGAACTGACTTTGCGGTTTAGTCGGCTTCTGGACGACCACGATCCGTGCTCTTCGTCGTTGACCGATCGATGGATCCGGTTGCTCCGTTTCTCCACGAATTTTGGTACCAAGCCATGGTCAACGACCTCCTGCCGGTCAAAGACGGCGTTCACTATCGGCGAGTCGTCGTACATTCCCCATGTCAGGTCAGGTTGACATGCGCTGATATTCGCAGATACAAATACACCAACACGATTGGCGGGACGGAGGAGAAGGAGGCGCTCCTTGACGACGAGGACCCTGTTTGGGTCTCGGTCCGGCATCTGCACATGAAGGACGCGATCGATACGCTCATGACCAACTTCAACCGCTTTGCGCAGGAGCATGCCGGTTTCAGAGGGTGAGTAAGACGTTTCATCCGGTCCGATGCAAGGCAAACACGTTGGCACACGACTCGACGCTGACGTCCATGTCGTAGCGGCGGACAGGTCAACGTGAACGATCTGAAAGACATGCTTGCCAGCTTGCCGCAGTTCCAGAAGGAGAGGGAGCAGTACTCGTTGCATCTGGATATGGCCCAAGAGTGCATGTCGTTGTTTGAGAAGAAGCATCTCAACATGGTGGCCAACGTAGAGCAGGTGAGGCACAGTCCTTTGAAGGGCGAGTCCGAGGCCGTGCTGAGGTGCGCTGACGTTACAGTGCTGCGCGACGGGCTTTACGTCTGAGGGAAAGACACCAAAGACGTTGGTAGAGGAGATGGTCCCGTTGCTTGATGATCGTGCGGTCTCGTGAGTTTCGCTTCGGACCTCCTGGATCGAGGGCTTGGACGGATTAGGACTTACAAGCACAGGCAACTGGACAAGGTCCGAGTGATTGCGCTCTACATCCTTTTCCGGGATGGGGTGGCCGACGAAGATCGAAGGCGGCTGTTCCAGCACGCGAGGCTGTCCATCACCGAGCAGGACTCTGTGAACAACTTGGTTCACCTGGGCGCCAAGGTGATCAAAGTGAGTCAATTGCTGTAGGCGTATCATGTGTCGGGCCATGTGCTGAGTCAAGTAGGACTCGAAGGACCGGTCGAAGGGCGGCCGGATCAAGCAAAAGTATCAGACGGTTGAAGGGGAGTACGAGCTGTCACGGTACAAGCCCGTTGCCCAGGTGATACTCGAAGTGAGTCCTTTCGAACGACTCATGATTCACCGCCATTCCACGCATCGGTCTGATTTCGGTAGGATCACAGCCATAACCGGTTAGAACAATCCCTCTTCCCCTTCACCAAGGATGTCCCTCCGGAGCTCAACCCTTCGCTACGAGGAGGCGGACATGCGCCGGCTCCCGCGCCGTCGTCTTCCCTGCGGAGCGCGCGACCGACATGGCACAAAGCACCATCAGCGCGGGCGGCGAACACGGAGGGGAGACAACGGTTGATCCTGTTTGTCGCTGGCGGTATCACGTATTCGGAGATGAGACTGGCGTACACCATCGGTCAATCGCTGGGTAAGGATGTCTACATCGGTGAGTAACGAGTGTCCTCGGCGGCCATGGCTATCCAAATTGTCTACAAACGGCGTACGTGCGCGTGCTGATACATCAGGCTCAACGCACGTCATCACGCCTGAACAATATGTCAAGGACCTCAAGTCGTTGGGCCGGGGCGGTATCGGTGGGAACCCACCACGTCCAATCCAGTATCACCTTCAGTCGCCTGATCGGAATCGATCCCCGGGTAGACCAGTGTCGTATCAATAGTGAGCTCCAATTCCTCGTTCCCCGGACATGTTGCCGAACGCCAGTCCGTGCCATACTGAACCCTTTGAAGCATCCTCGACAGGAGACACTGGGCCCCACCAGTCGGGCCGCCCCCTCTCGCGCCACCCCCCGGTCAACCCGCTCCGCCGGGGATGAAGTCGGCCAATTCGTTCAACTCGGCCGCGCAGCTGAACAACAGGATGTCGGATCTGAGTCTGGGAGGGAAGGCGGGTAGCTTGTCTGGGAGCCTGAAGGGGAAGAAGGACAAGAAGGACAAGGAGGACGGCGAGGGGAAGAAGAAGGGGCTGTTCAAGATGAAGTGGTAGGTGGTGATCGGGGCGGAAGTGGGGAAGCGCGGGAGTGGGGTCAGAGAGACCGCGGAGGTGATGCGGAGGGCAGGAAAGAGGGGATGTTCCGAAACGACTAGCGGTGACGCGAGGTCAAGCGACGGGGGACACTATCGACGTGGGACGGCTTTTGGATCCTTGGTTGTATGTATGACGTTTTACCATACCCAGAGTCATTGGCGACGTCTTATTCGTGTGGTGGTTTCATCCGACACCCGGGTGCCTGGCTGCCCGGACCGACGTTTCAGGATGATCCCACCGGATCAGTGCGCCGGCCTCGTCCTATTCCCAGCCCAATGATTCCATTCTCATGCTCACACCTCTCTGTATGCTTGTTCTATGATACATACAGCATCGATCATCCATACCATCACACATCGATGGCCTTGATGTCCTGCTCCGTCGCGGACCCCTTGATATCCCCCTCGGCTCGCTCTACTCCAAGCGAAGAAACGACCCCCGCGGAACTCAATATCGACGTGGAATCCGACTCCCCCAATTTGCTGCTTCTCCCTGTTGTGCCGCCACCCATCCCACCGAAGCCCGCCCACCTGTCTCTCCTCGCGTTTCCTCGCTTGTCGGTGCTGGAGTCGCATGTCCATTCGCGACAGGTTTCCGAGCGGACCATCGACGGGCTCAATCGGTACGAGGACCCAGACCCAGTCCTCCCGCTGGAACTCAACCTCGAGCTCGATGTAGACGGTGTGATCGCGGCGAGAAATCAAGGGGCAACATCGCCCAGTTGGGAACAAGATGAGGCCGAAAAGCGCGGCAATGGCTCGCGTGGGGCCTACTATGATGCAGAAGGGCTTCGGCTCCAATTCGATGCGGGACATAATGCCTCTTCGGCATGGGCTGTTGGAGTGGAGGAACACGATCATGATCCGAGGGGTCTCCGAGATGGGCTTAGGCGGACGACGGAGGACGCCCCTCGAGAGGCGAGGTCGTTGTACGCGTTCTTCGGGGAGAGCGATAATGAGCTGTAAGTGGGGTTCTTCATCTGGCTGTACATCTCCAACCTCCATCTCCAACCTCCATTCCCAACCTCCATTACATCTCCAACCTCCCTTCCTGGTTTCTAGTCATTCCTGCGATGCGTAATGCCACGCGGGACCATGACCTTCAACCATGCCCAGGATCGACGATTGACTCATGCTCCCCGTCAGATCCTTCGAGGCCAACTCTTCACTTCTGATCCACGCCCCCGAGATCGGCTCAGGCTGGTCGTTAGCCAGTATACCACATACCGGCGCCCTCGGGCTCTGTCCGCAGAGCTACTACGTGTACATCTCGGCCTTCACCCTTTCTCCCGGCTTACACTCCGGAGGGAGCTTTCTCTCGGCCCGGAGTGGCCGGAGTGGGTTTGGTGGATCGCGGTTATCTGTCGGGTCGGGCGGGTCGCGGAGCAGGCTCGGGAGTGGGGGTTCGTCTTATGCCGCAGGTTTGGGAGGTTTGGGGTTCGGGAAGGGTACGGGCAAGGAGAATGGGGCGGCGGGTAATGGGGGACAAGGGACGCTGGATTGGCTGAGGAGGAGTGTGCTCGGTGAGAGGTCACTGAATCGGTGAGTTCGGGTGCTACACTTGAGGGAGCAGAGGAGGTACGGGGAGTATTGCATTCCTACACCTCTTACCCGTCTTACACCATTCACACCTCTCGCACCTCTCAAACCTCTCACATCTCTCTCAGACCTCTCACGCATCCTACGCATCTCACCTCTCTCAGCTTTTCCGGCTATGTGCTCTCTGGCGCCGAAGAATACATCCTCCGGGGTGCCGGCCCAATATCCCCCAAGCATGCTTCGAACGGCCATGGACTTGGCCACGATCACGACACGCAGGCGCACGATGGCTCCTCACAGTTCAGCTCGGACGGAATCGCAGGCGAGCGACATCACGTTGATGACGGGCCTCGATGGAGGGAGTTGACGACACGGATTCACATCCGGGTGCATGGCCCCGTCCGGCGTCATGATGCTAATGGGAAGGACTTTGTCGAATGTGAGCTGTCTCACTGCATACCTATGAGCTGTTGAAGGGCTGAATCGCAGAAGACGAGGTCTCTTCTATCACCTGCCCTCCAGCACAATCCGAGGATGGGGACGGGGAGGACGCGGCTCGACACTCGGTACATCGCCGGTACTCACACTTCGACCAGCTACACAAGGCGCTATCGACGAGGTGCCCAATACTTGCACTGCCGCCACTCCCACCCAAGGCGGTCTCGAGCGGTCTGGACGGGGCGTTCCTCGAGCAGAGGAGGTACGGTTTGGAGCGGTGGTTAGGGAGGATCGCACGGCATCCCATCGTAGGCAGCTGTCCTCTGTTTGAGGCGTTTATCGGGGCAGAGGACAATAGGGTATGTTACTTTCCTTCGCCTTCCGCTTAAAGATGCTGAAACAGCGGCTCAAGTGGCGATCTGCTTTGCAGCACTTCCAAGCAGAGACTATAGACCCCTCGTCGTTCTTCGCCAGGTGAGGAAAAAATGTCGATGAGTCTCGCTCACATCAGTGTCTTCCACCCAGACTTCAACTTCGAGTTCGACGACGCGCATGCCGCTTCCGAGCGGTTCGAAGGACATGTCCGATCGGTGGACCGGGGAGTAGACGGTATTCGGACGATGTGGATGAGGCTACGCGAAGCGTCGAAGGGTGTGTTCAGACTGGGGGAAACTCAGCTCTTCTTGGCGGTCATGGGCCGTCGGCCGATTGTAGAGAGACATGCGCTGACGTGAACAGAACAGTCCGACGCGCATCGCGCGCTGTCGTATTGCCTCCTATCCATGCTCACGGGACGGAATCTCGGACCTCCAGTACAAGCGGTACCAGGCTTGGGACCAATGGAACGACACCCAAGGGATCCAACAGACGAGCCCCTCGCGAGCAATCCCGAAGGTGTGTGGTGCTGGCGTGATTCGTGCGGTGGTGGGTGATTTCATTTGAGCTGAGGCGTTTGGTTGCGTCGGGTGGTTTGCTGACCAGGCAGATTGCGCGGGGTTGACGAGGGGGATGAAGAGGGTCGTGGATGGTCTGCAGCTCGTGGCGGATCTGGAAGATCGGCACGCAAGTCTTCATCATTGCCAACGACGTACAGCCGTCAACGAGAGATCTGCTAATCGAGCAGGCGCGAGAATCGCTACTAAAGCTCGAAGAGGACTTGAAGGATACTGCGCACTCTGCGCCTCAGTATGCGGTGAGTCTCGACTTCTGCTAGCACGACTGCACTCAAGGACGCTTCGTACGGAGTACAGTACTCTACACAATATATTCCAGAAAACCAGACGGCTCATTGACGACACGTGACAGCGCGTCGTGGACACGCACCGGACCGCCTTGGCAAGGTACGCAGACACGATGGTGACCGCCGAGGTATGTATTGTGTGATACGGCCAGATACGCCAAAGAGCGTATCACCGCAAGGCTGACGCGGTGTGTAAGCAGCACAGTCACGGGTCAAGCCGCAACGAAGTGGAAATATCCCGCTGTGAGACCGTACTCAACGCGACGCTCGCCGAAATGGATCATCACCACTCGACCAAGCTGCACGACTTCCGCCGAATCACCACGACGTATCTCGACGGGGAGATTGCTCACCATCGCGCCGTGTTGGAGAAGCTCCAGGGCGCTCGTGATGCGATGGATCTAGATGATGAGGATGATGAACAAGACCAAGGTCAAGACACGACATGCCCACCAAGTCGGTATGAAGGGCAGTTGAGGGCGCCGCACCAAGCGGAGCCGTTACCCAGGAGTGGGGAGCATGTGTGGGACAGGGCAAGCCTGGGTGTGATGAGTACGGGCATGAGGGTGCTCGACGGACTCGGGCAGATGGTCGGGAGGTGATGCGACGACAGCGTGGTGTGTGTCTGGCTTGTTCTTTCACTACAGTATATTCGGTCTGCTTGTCGACAGGTCACAATGACATCCCTCGCATACTGGTACATATGCACTCGAGTACAGTATCTCGTGATGCTCACATACGTGTCGTCGAGATCTACGACTTCTGCGGTTCCTCTTCCGCATCGTATGCACACGGCCTAACGTGAAGTGATCGTGTCTGCGAAGGCGAACACCGACTTCCTAATCCCCACACTCTCTATGGCTCCTCAATGCATTCCTTGACGCTTCGCACCAGGATTCCAACAATCTCGCTGATTTGCTCCGGGGTGACAATGTACGCCTGAGAGAGTTAGGGGTGCACAACGTCCCACTCTGCAGCTGTACTCGTACAGGTTGTTCGGGTGATTGCTTGGCGGTGGCATTTGGCCGCGCCGAACCAAGGGCAAGGAGACTTACCGGTGCGAGGACGATCGTCTCCCCTTGCTTCCCGTCGACGGTACCCGAGAGGCCGAGGACGAGGAGACCGAGCTCGAAGCATCGGGCTTTGACTCTCGCTGCCATCCTGGGCTTGAGATCCGCGGGGGCGTCCAGCTCGACGCCGACAAACTGCGAGTGCTCAGCGGCGGACTAAGGCGATGGCTGGCGCTGTTGCTGATTGCGTAGGAAATGTGGTTGAAGGTACACTAGTCATGCAGTTGCACAGCACTCACCAGGCCCTTCCCTCGAACATCGTACACCCCTTTCACTCCCTCGAGCGCCGCGGTGAGCTCCTCGAGCAACTGCGTCCCTCTTGCCTTGACATTCTGCATCAACCCCTCCCTCTCGGTGATCTCCATGACCTTCCTTGCCACCGCGCAGTTGACCGGGTGATTCTGATACGTGTGGCTGTTCTTCCACTGTCCTGCTTCCCTGACCACCTCTGCCACCCTTGCATTCACAAGGACAGCCGAGATGGTGACATACCCCGCTCCGAGGCCTTTGGCCATCGCCATGATATCCGGCGTGACGCCTTCTGCGACAGCATCGTGCGCGAAGAGCTCCCCCACGCGTCCAGATCCGGACATCACCTCGTCCATCACGAAGAGGAGGTTGTGTTTCCGGACCACGGCGTTGATGGCGGGAAAATAGCCTTTGGGAGGGGGCATCACGCCCAGAGCGGCGCCGACGACCGGCTCGGCAACAAACGCCATGATGTTCTCGGCGCCCAGCTCGAGGATCTTGGCCTCGAGCTCCGAGGCGAGACGGAGCGAGTAGGCCTCCTCGCTCTCGGATGGGAGGTGGGAGCGCTTGTACGTCGGAGAGGAGACGTGGTGGATGAAGTCGGAGAACAAGGGGGTGTAGAGGTCCCGACGGGGAGGGACGTTGCCGACCTGAAGAGGGTCAGCGATGCGATGTTCACTTCTACCCCCGGCACTCGTGCTGGTCTCGGAACCTCGGCTGTCTCTGCCGGGACCGATGACTGGTGACCAGTTGGAAACCAGTCATGTGAGGAGTGACCAGCGCAGAGATACAAGTCGCCGACACATCGTGCCGTGCCGCGCCGACTCACCGCAAGCGCACCGAGGGTATTACCGTGGTAGCTCGGGAACCTCGCAATGATATACTTCCTCTGCGGCTCGCCCTTCTCGACCCAGTACTGCCTGCAGAGCTTGATACAGGCCTCCATGGCTTCGGAGCCTGCGGAGGTGAGCGAGGTTCCACATGTGACATTGCGCTCAGCCGGCTACACTGCTCTGTTCCTCCTTGTGCAGACCCGGCAGACCATCAAGATCCACCAGGACGTCTATCGCCGCCCCACACCACTTTCCCCGTGGCCAACCAATGGTGACACTTCGAGCGAACGAGCGAGAGTCCCGCACCCTCGTGCTATAATGCCTCCGGCCACTCACCCGAGTTGAGGAACGCAGCCGCCTCAAACCTCCCTTTACCTCTACTGACCAGCCACTCTGCCAACTCCTCTCCGGGCCCACTCCCGAGGAGTTGATGATACGCATAAGCCATCTTCGCCGCCTGCTCCGTCATCGTGTTTACCACCTCGACGTTGCCCATTCCGAGGGACGCGACGGCCGCGCCGCCCGAGACGGCATCGAGGAGTGTCCGGCCGTCGGCGAGGCGGACGTACATCCCCTCAGCGGAGACTGCGAGGGGTTGCGGCGTGGCATGGTGGAGCTGCGCGGAGGTGTGGGTGGTGTGGGTGGTGTGGGTGGTGTGGGTGGTGTGGGAAGGGAGGGTAGTCGGTTTGAGATGCGGGGTGAGAGAGGGCGTCTCGGGCGGGGTGGGAAGGGCGATGGGGGACATCGCGGCGTGGTGGACTCGGTGCGAATGAGAGCGAGTCAAGCGTGAATCGCGCGACGGGCAGAGCAAGCAAGAACGACGAGTTAGTCTGATGGTGTGGTTGCAGCGGGGACTACCTGGTGTATGGGGGGATATGTACTCGTACAGCGGATGAGATCCCAGCGACAGTGTCGGGCTTAAGTAGTTCCCAATCCTCCTCGTTGGAAATCACACCACCACCTCGTCTCTTACGGTATTCCAACGGCTCCTGGTCTCCCGGTCAAATCCAGAGTCAACTTCCCACCCTTCCCACCGCCATCTGACCTCGGCTTGGAGCGAGTCGTTTGCCGAGGTCCAATCGGCTCGACCCGGTCCAATCCTGTTCCCCAGTTCCCCAGTTCCCACTTGGCGAGGTCCAATCCGACTCGGCCGGCTGGACCTGTGGATGGGTGGAACATGGATGTGCCAACGCGGATATGCCAATCGGGCTGCTCCGAGTCGAGGCCCAGGTCGAGGTCCAATGCATGGCGCTTCTTGTTCTCACAGGGACGCAGGAGAGAGAGAGAGCGGGAATGCGGAACGCTGGTCAAATGCGGCCCATTGGAAAACAGCTCCGGGGCACGATTTGACCTCGCGAGATAAGCCTCTTTAGCGAGGTCAGGCCCGGCCGATAACAGCGGACGAGCCGGAAGTCAAACTAGTCACGTGCGACTCGGACTGTGTCACAACATTTCGTGTTCGTTCATACCCATGCAAAGTGTGCGTGCTCGTATACCGTGATCGTAGATATGTCTCGTCTAATCTCACAACAACACCGCGATCGATCCGCCTCTCATTCTTAGCCTTGGCCAGGTGGCGTGCAGACCTACACAACACGTGCCTGCTCCTGCTCTCCGCTCCGACTCGTTACCAGTCCCTCCTCACGCTGGCGCTCAGGGCTGTTTCTCAGAGTCAGCGCCGCTCGTCGTCCTGAGATATCAAGCAGGCCTGATGCTGATGCTGACGCTCACACCAATCGTCTTCTTCATAGTCTGCTCTTGAGCTCACCTGCTGCGGCGGCCTTGCCGGTCGAGCCCCCAGGTGTGGGGCCATTACTGCCCTGCTCCGCAGCGGCGTTGAGGCTGGTGGAAGACGGGCTGTTTGGCAACGGTCGAAGGCGAGACTGTCTACCGGCCATCGGCTCGAGCTGGTTTGGACAAGACATCAGTTCATGTCCCTCAGAGCAGAACAGCACGTTCGCAGGATAGGAGGATGGCCAAAACCCAGGATAGCAGAATAGAAGGATAGCAGGCGACAGTCCCACGCCATCACTCACCCTCCGCTTGATCTCCCTCAGAGCCTTGGTCGTCGGCTTCCAATGCAATATCCCCTCTTTCAGATCCCTCAACTCCCCCGGGAACAGATCCTTTACTTCGGGAGCATCCACCAACGCACGCATGATCCACGGTAACTCAAAGTCGTTGCGCGCGTCTCGGGCGCTGAACGACTCGACGTGAAGGGCGGGCATGGGTTGACGCGCGGGCGTCGAGTGGAAGAGGTAGTCGACCACCAGGGAATAGCACGAGGCTTCCTCATAAGGGCTCGAGTGGCCGACACCTGGTTACGTCAGTCGTCACAGCTGAACCTGTCGGAGCGGGGTCTCGAAGTGGACTCACCCGTCAGACTCCCAGCTGTCGCCTCACTCAGATGCTCCACCAAACGCTGATCGTCGATGCCCGCGTTGCGCAGCATGAACGCAAAGCACAGCAGATTCGTCATGAAGTCGCTTGCACTGTACGAGGCGCCGTCGACAAACAGCGCTCTGAGTAGCAAAGGGTGTTGAGCGGTGGAGAATGATGCTCCGTAGATGGGAACCTATCCGCCACCTCAGCCCATGATATGACGAAGGTCTGACGTCTCTAGGGACGTCGCAGACGAAGTTACGACCTCACTCACCACCTGATCGTTCAAGCTCGCCAGCAGAAGCACCCTGACCTCATTCTCAAGCACCATGCCCAACGCACGCTGGTACGCCAGACTGACCGCGCTGTTCGTGTCCTGGAACTCGAACAGTTCCCTCGCCGCGGCATTCTCGAACCACTGGAGGTACGGCTGAATCACCGTACTCGTCGAGATCGAATGGAGCGGTCCGAGATGGACCCCACACATAGCGAGCATCGCGACTTTTTGGTAACCTCCCTCGGAGCCGGTTGTCGAGATGAACGCTTTACGGCCCCGGCGAGGTTCTTCGGGTGGCAGCAACCCGACCGGGCCAAACGCCCACTCGCATCGGCCGACTGCCTCACGGTTTAGTGGCGTGCGGATATGACCCTGGGCGATCATCCGCGAGATGAGATGGGTGGTTACGATGCAGCCTTGTGAGTGGGCGGCGAAGAAGATGGCGTCGGCACGGCGGAGGTCGTTGATCCAGGCGGGATTGGACAGATACGCTTTGTACAGCCTGGCCGATCAGCTACGTGACCGTCTGCTCCCATCATCGGTCGAGAACACTCACTTGTCCACGCGATGGTCGATGGTACCCTCCCCTTCGAGAGGCATGAGCGTGAGTCGAATGTCTGTGATACCCTTGTCTTCGAAGAACTTCTTGACCGCCGAACCCATCATGTTGGCGAATTTGACGGATGTGCCCGTAGGCTCGCCAATGACCCTGACTTCCGTTAGCATCTCGACTCGGATTCGCAGCTGGTGAACGAGGCCTCACGAGTTGAGCATCTTTGCCGGAAACCTGC